CCCAGACAGACACCACTCTGGCCCAGCTGAGGGAAAGGGGTGCCTACAGGGACACCTCAGAACATCTCCCCTGACTCTCCTCCCCCTCACTCTGCTTCCTCCAGCCCCAAATTCCAGGTAGGAGGGGTATCATTCATGGGTCTTATGGATGAATGGATCCCCAAGTGTGGTCTTGCCATACCGAGGAACATTACTCAGCCAGGAAAAAGAAAAGTGCTGGCACCTGCTGCAATGCGGCTGGACCTGGAAAACACGCTGGGTGAAAGGGCCCAGTCATGAAAAGTCACAGATCGCATGATTCTGTTTATAGGAAATGCCCGGAATGGGCACATCCACACACAGACCGCAAGTTCATGGTTGGCAGGGCTGGGGCGCAGTGGGGGAGGGTGGTGAGCGCGAGTGGGTTTCTTTGTGGATGGTGAAATGTCTAACGTTGGGCCTCCCTGGTGGCGCAAGGGGTTAAGATGCAACCTATGAGGTTGTCCGCAACCACTGCAGCACATGTTCGATCCCCGGCCAGCCAGGGAGCTACCCACATGGCGCAGCAGACCTCTCCTGCCGCGCCCGCTGCTCCCCTCAGCAGTGTGCTTCAGGACATCCACCTGTTCTGTTCCTAATTCTATCTCTGGTGAATCCTCTCACCCCTGCACCTCTGGCCTGTCCCCCAGCTCTTGCATGCATAAATACATAAATCTTCTTTAAAAATAACATAAAAGTTTTATAAAAAAAAAAAATGTTCTAACGTTGACGGTGGTGACGGTCGCATCACTGCTGTGCGTGCACTAAATGCCATTGAGTGACACACTTGCCTTCAGCGAGTCTCACGGCACCCGGAGGCGTCTCACAGCACATGGAGGAGTCTCGATGAAGTCAAGAAAACCGGGAGTGAAGTCCTGCCACCTGCGACAACCTGGACGGGCCACCCAGCCCGACGCTGAGGGGGAGAAGCCGCACAGCCGGGGAGGTGCACACACAGCAGCTGCAGGGGGACGAGGTTCTGGGGAAGGGCGGGCACCTGCCCCTGGGGACGGGGTTCCTTATGGGGGTGGTGAAAGTGTTCTAAAATTGCTCATGGGGAGGCTAAACAGTGGTAAATCTACCAAAAAGCGTGGCGTGCATGCCTTGGATGGGCAGATTCCCTAGTGTACGACTATCTAGCAAAGCCGTGATTAAAAAAAAAAGCTTTGGGGGGGCCTCCCCGGTGGAGCAGCAGGTTGAGCACAGCACTGTAAGGCTGTCTGCAGGCTCTGCAGCGTGGGTTCGATATCCAGCCAGCCAGGGAGCAACCCATATGGTGGCAGACCTCTCCTGTCGCGCCCTCTGCTCCCCTCAGCAGTGCTTTCGGTCTGTCTGCCTGTTCTGTTCCCCGCTCTGTCTCTGGTGAATCCTCTCATCCATCCACACAAGAACCGGGGTACAGGCCAGAGGCGCGGGAGGATGAGGAGACTCACCAGAGACAGAGCGGGGAACAGAACAGGCAGACAGACTGAAAGCACTGCTGAGGGGAGCCGCGGGAGTGCAGGAGAGGTCTGCCGCGCCATGTGGGATTCTCGCCGGCCGGCCGGGATCAACCACGCACTGCAGAGGCTGTGGACAGCTTCACAGCGCTGCGCTCAACCTGCTGCGCCACTGGGGAGGCCCAAGGATAAATAAATCTTAAAAAAACAAACAACAACAATGAAAAAAAAAAAAAAACAGCTTTTTTGATGCCAGGTGTCCAGGGAGCCCCAAAAATCTTAGCACTCCCCTACAGCAGAGAGTGCCGGGACGCCTCTCTTGGGTCCAAGTGGGCCCTGCTGCTCTGGGGGCGCCTCGGGATAGCCCCGTGCAGGGGCTCCCTAAGCCAGCAAAGCCCAGGAAAGTTTACCTGCGGCCGGAAGGCGGGGCTACAGCAGGTGTTGCCGTGTGTGGCGGGAACAGAGCTTTCTCGTTTTTATTTTTTTTTTATTTTTTTTTTAATAGAGGCATGTTTTATCTATTTATTTGTTTGTTTGTTTTGTTTATACATGCACTGGGTACAGTCCGAAGCGCGGGAGGGTGAGAGAATTCACCAGAGCCAGAGCGGGGAGCAGAGCAGGCAGAAGGACCGAAGGACACTGCTGAGGGGAGCAGCGGGCGGCAGGAGAGGTCTGCGCGCCATGTGGGACCCTCCTCTGGTGGCCTGGGAGCAGCCGGGGATCGAACCGGCGCCGCAGAGGCTGCGGGCAGGTTCGCAACCCAGCGCTCAACCGCTGCGCCACCGGGGAGGCCCGCTTTCTCGTTTTTAAACTCCTGCCCTGCGTGTGTCTAGAATGGCATCTCCTGGGACAGACAATGTGTTCGTTTCCTACTGCCGTCCAGCAAGTTTTCACAAACTTATTGGCTGAAACTGGCACGTTTACCTTGGCAGAGGCCAGGAGGCCAGTGCCCAGGTGTGGGCTTCTCCGTCCAGGTGTCTCCAGGGCTCTGGCCTAGGGCTCTGCCCAGGGCGTGGGGCCGTGATGCCTCACCGGCAGTCGGCGGGGTCTGCCCTCGGCTCACAGAGGCTGCTTTGGGTCCTGGTCCCGTGGCCTCCTCGATCTGAGCAGCAGAGAGCCTCCCTCCTGCTGACCTTTCCTGCCCCAGGGTGCTCTGGCGCACGTGAGGATCGCGTCCTGCTTGGGGGAAGGGCGGGCGGCAAGGACACCAGCCACTGGAGCAGGAACCCGGCCCCACAGAAGCACAAAGGCCCTTCTTGGGAAAAGCTGCTGGGCCCCCCCAGGGCAGCAGAATGGGGGCTGGGGAACAGGCCCAAAGATCCACAGCCCCAGGGGCTCACCCCACCTCTCCTGGCTCCTGCGCAGGGAGCCCTCTGGGCCAACAAAGTGGGGGCCACCACTAGGGGGCGTGCGGTTCACATGATGCTTTGCGGGCAGGCAGAGGAAAGCGCATTTGGGGAGCCCAAGGCCGGCCACCAGCCTCCCTAGACCCCAAGGTCCTGTATATGAAGGGGATGCTGGGCTCACTGGGGTGCCCGTAGGCTTGACCTCCCATGCCCACTTCCTGGGTCCAGCCTGACGATTCGCTTTGGTCAAAAGCAAGCCCTTAAAAGAGGGGCTGGCGTCTCCCTGGGACATGTGCCCTGTGCCTCCCACTCCGGGGGTCCAGGCCTGACACTGCAGCCCACTGGGGTCCGCTCTGGCCCCACTCAGCCCTCCCTCCCCTCTCCTCCCCTCCCCCCCTCCACGGAAAGCGCCCTCCTCCTCTGTGGGGATTCTCCCTGGGGCACTGCCTTCACCGCAGGAGGCGCTGGCCCTGCAGAGGCCAGCACAGGGCCTCCGCCCGGCTGGTCTGTTGCGGTTTAGGCAGAAATGGCTGCCTGACCACTTCCTCAAATGAGTCTCTGGGCAGGGCAGCTGAGCAATTCCACCTGGCAGCGGGTGCCTGTAGCACGGTGGGAGGGGGGACCCCAAAGGTGGGGCCTGACACCCAGCCTGGGCCGTCCCGCCAGGGTGTAGGGGAGAGGAGAGGACCTAGCCTGGGACCTGCTTAATGTCAACGGAGAGAAGCCAGCCAAGGGGTGTGGCCAGAGAGGCGAGGGGGCAGCAGAGGTGCCACAAGAAACCAGGAGGTGGGGCCTCCCTGATGGTGCAGGGGGTTAAACACAGCACTGTGAAGCTGTCCGCAGCTTCTGCAGCACGAGTTCGATCCCTGGCCGGGGAGCTACCCACACGGTGCAGCAGACCTCTCCTGTCTCCTGCTGCTCCCCTCAGCAGTGGATTTCAGTAGATCCACCTGCTCTGCTCCCCACTCTGTCTCTGGTGAATCTTCTCACCCCCCACACCTCTGGCCCAGTTCTTGTATGCATAAATAATAAATCTTTTTTAAAAAAAAAAAACCAGGAGGCTGCATTTGGGGGCTCAGGAGAAAGCTCGGGAGCAGAGGAGATGGGAAGAAGACGACTGGGGTGCTACTGAGCTCGAGAGAGGGGCCGCCAGGGTCCCTCCTGGCAGCAGGCTCTCCTCTGAAGTGGATGGACATGGGCAGAGACAGCAGGAAGGCCAGGCCCCTTGAGGGTGGGAAGGGTCATGCTGAGACCAGGCAGGGATGTGGGCCTGCTCTGGGGATGAGGAAGCACAGCTAGGGGCTGCGAGGGGGCAGGCGGCCAGGAAAACGGACTCGCTCTCCCTGGGATCGGTGGGTTCGGAGCGTGAGGGGGACATTTGTGGGGAGCACTTGTGGTCAGCACCCAGCGAGTGCTCATCCTCACTGCGGCACCAGAGTCCCAATCACGCCCCGGTGGCTCACCCAGGGTCAGCCCCCACCCCCACCCCTCACCAGCCTTCCTTTGAGGGGACTCCAGAGCCAGGGCTCCCAGGCTGGCCTCAGGACTTCGCCTGCTGGTGGAGGGACAGGTGGTCTGGCCTGGCCACGTGAGGCCAGCAGCAAGCAGCAGGCTGACTGGGTGTGGTGAGGAATCTGGAGGGAGAAGCACGTCTGCGTGACCGGGTAAGGTCAAGTCCACGGGGAACACAGATCCGCATTCTGTGGTCCCCGGTCAGTGGCAGTGGTCAGTCAAGAAGGGCCAACTCTCAGGGGTCAGGGAAGCCTTGACTCAGGTTTTGTCAGACCCGGGAGGACGAAGGCGGAGGCGGGAGGAGCATTCCAGAAGGGGGCCCAGCCTGAGTCAGCAAAGGGACAGGTTTCAGGATTGCTCTCTCCACCCCCAAGAGGCCTGGCCTTGCCGCCCCCTCCTCCTTGAGCCCCTGCGGCTCCCTGGCAGCCACGCTGCGCCAGCACGCCAGCACGCCGGGGGTTAACGTCTGTCTGGTGCACTGGCGGGGCAGCAGCAGCTTTGGCGGCCTAGCCAGTAACCCAGAAGCTGAAATGTGAGAAGTAGGAGGAGAGGGGCCCCGCGCAGCAGCAGTAGCAGCGTGGCTGCAGCTGGCTGCGATGGCAGGAGGAGAGGGTTTCCCTGGCAGGAGCCTGCTCTGCCCTGGCGGCCAGCGGCGCCCTCCCACCCACGGCCCACAGCTCACGGCCCCTCCACATGGCTGCCCGCCTGCCTCGGGCCATGGGCCAGGGCAGTGCACGCTCATGGCCAGGGTCCGCATCCTTCAGGCCTCACTGCGGATCTGGAGAAGGGCCGAGGCCGTGCCCTGGTGACCAGCCGAGGGCAGAGGGCCAAAGGGGCCAACCTCAGAGGCCTGGGCAGGGCAGATGAGCCGTGGATTTCCGTCCTGGACGTTTCACAGGCAGATGAGCCGTGGGAGGCAAGGACACAGGGCCCCGCCGCCTCCTAGGCCTGTGCCAGGCGGCCCTGGCAGTGAAGACCAACCAGAGGTGGTGACCCCCCCAATGTGTGCAGGTGCTGGTGCTGGACTTGGATGAACCCCTACATCTCAGCCCCTTCCCTCATGTCCTGGTCTTAGCAGGCATTAGGATCACAACCGCTTCAGGTGAGCAGACCGAGGCCGAGTACAGACGTGTCCAGGGCCACGCGCCACAGCCAGCTTGATCCCAGCTGCTCTGCCGGGCACCTCGTGCTCACCCGCCGCCCTGCGCTTGGGGCAGGTGGGAGCAGCAGAGTCGCCAGCAAACCAGCACAGGCTGTGTGAGGCGAGGGACCGGGCAGCCTGGGGCCCTGGGATGGCGGTTGCGGGGGAGCGAAAGGCTTGCAATGCTTGGGACCTGCCCGTCCCCCCCACCGGGTGGTGCAGGCTGAGAACAGTCTCCGGAGGAAGAGGGAGCACCTGGTCCCCCTGGGCACAATTCTGAGGAGGTAGGGACCTCCGGAAACCCCAGGGTCACCGCCAACCAGGGACCAGTGCTGGCCTGGACAGGCCATGGAGCACAGCTGGGCCCAGCGTTGGCATGGCCCCCGGGCACCTGTGCCTCGCTGGGCGGGGCTCTGCTACAGGCGAGGGGAGCGCCTTCAGAGGTGTCCTGGGGGCCTGCGGGCCAGGAGCCGGAGATCCCAGCCCTCCCAGCATGAGCCCTTGACTGACTTCTCCAGGGGGCTGTGAGGACAGAACGAGGCCGTTGCCGAAAAGCACTGAGATTGCAAACTGACGTCCACACAAAGCCAAGCAGCCAAGTGGAGGGAATACGACTCGGCTGTGGAAAAGGACGAAGGCCTGACACCTGGTACGGCGCGGAGGAATCTTGAAACCAGGCTGCCCAGGGAAAGCCGCCGGCGCAGGAGACGACCGGGCCTGTGAAACGTCCAGGACGGAAATCCAGAGAGACAGAGCAGACTGCCCGGCTCGGGTGGATGGCAGGGAGGTCGGGAGCGACCGCTAGTGGGTTCAGGGTCTCTTCTTCGATTGTGTTTTGAACGGATTTTTGTCTGTAGTTTTAAGGTCACAGGATCATTGAGCAGAAGGTACAGAGATTTCCCCGAGGCGCCCAGCACCCCCAGGGACCGCCTTCCCCACGTCTTGCCTCCCCCCACAGGGATACATTTGTGCCAATGGAGGACCCCCCGGGTTTCTGGGGTTGGGGGTTATGGAAAGTTCTGGAATTAGATGGCGGCAGCAGATGTCCCGTTCGGTGAAGAAAGAACCCCACTGAGCGAGTCACTCTCGAGGCTAGGGGTTAGGGCCTGTGAATGAGATCGCGAGTCCGGGCACCACCTGGTGAGCGCCCGGAAGGCGCTCCGGTGACCCGTCCCTTGCCTCCAGAGGCCGTGGTGTGATGGAGGCCAGAGAACACTAGGAAGCGTTTGGCCCCAGACGTGAGCCAGGCGTCATGGTCCCGGCAGCTGGGACGAGTGTCCTGAGAGCCACACACGGCCCACAGCATGCAGGGGGGTCAGGGCCCGAGACCAGCTCGCTGCTGGCCCAGGCAGCTTCTGAATAAGGCCCACAGGGAGGCCCCGAGCTCAGCCTTCTAGGGAACCACCCAGGAGAGGGGGCCACCAGGCAGAGAGGGGCGTTTGTGCTGAGGACTGCGGGGCCTGGGTGGCTTCATGGGACCAGCAGGTCCTGGAGCTGCGCAGCTCGAAGGTGGGACAACCAGAGGGCTGGTGGGAGTGGAGGGGCTGAGCCCAGAGGCCACCCGCCCCCAGGGCCTCTGCTTGCTGGGGAGGGGCCACCCCCACTCCTGGGCAGATCTGGGAGGCACCCGACTTTGGTTCATAAACAGCTGCCCAGGGCTATAGTAAGCCTGCCCTCGCCTGGCCCGAAGCTCTGGGTTTCTCCCAAGGGTCCTAGTGATTGGACCGCGAAGGGACCGAGTCCTCCCACCCGCCCTCCAGGTTCCAAGAGCGAACATGCAAGATGGGCAAGCCTGGTTCGGGCTCCCCACCAGCGCCAGGTCAGCAGACACACCTGCAGTGGCACATGGCAGGAACAGAGGCCGCCGCTCTGGGGAGCCCTGCCCCCTCTGCCACCCCCGGGGCACAGGGAGGGCCGGCCTGAGCCCGCAGGCTGCAGTTGAGCCCACCCCACGTGCCTCTCCCTCCACCCCTCCCCTGTCCCTCCTGCCTCCACCCTCCGTCTCCCTCGCGGTCTCTACACCTGCGGGAAAGCCGGACAGTACAAACCACCCAGAGAAGAGAAAGGAGCTGGCCACACGGGAGAGCATGTGTGCTCCGGCTCGCGCATCACACATGTGCACGTACACGCACGCACACGCGTGTCCTCTGAGCCCACAAGGCAGCTCATACTGAACCCAGACACAGGGAAGAGAGAGGGAACCAGACGAATCACCACCACGCCGCCTCCGGGCCGCAGGTGCCGGGGATCGCGAGCACTGTCTCATCAGCCCTTCCGAGAATCCGGGGGATTCCACAGATGAAGGAAACCAGCTTAAGGAACTTCGCCAGGAGACCCGGTAGGTTAGAGCCCTGGAGTCCCGCTCAGCACCTGGCACAAGCCCCAGAAGCCAGTCCTGAGGCAGCTTAGCAGAGTGGGGGTGCCTGCTGCTTGGCAATTTGGGGCGCCCCACTCCCACTTTTTCTGGTACTGTAGGGGTGTCAGCTCTGGGCTGGGGTGAGCTGAGCCCCCGACCCAGCCCTGTCAGCAGCAGGGCATTCCAGAGCCCCATGGGCTGGGACCCATCTCAGTGTCCAGTCTTGCTGGACGCCCTGTTGGGGGGAGTCACAGTCTTGGGGAGCGCAGGCCTGAGAATAAAGTGAGCAGCACAGGGGACCTGGGTGAGGAGGCGCAAGTGCCAAGCCGGACCAGGCAGGCTTGAGGCCTCCGTGGCTCCAGGGGTTGTTAAATAACAGGTCTGGGAGCGCAGGCCCCGGCAGAGCTCCCACTGTTCTCCTGCCCAGCTGTCCCCTTAGAGGTGCTGGGAGCTTAGGGTCCTCCAGGAGGCTGGGGTGGGGCAGCGCCCCTCCCAGAATCCTGCGGATGGAGTGGGGGAGGTGTTGGACCCTCTCAGCCTCCTCCTACAGCAGCTCCTTGGCTCCATTTGACCTTCAAAGTTGGCATCTGTTTGCAGGAATCTGTCTCTCCCCCTGGAATTCAGCCTCCAGATGTGGGATCCAAGGCAGAGCGGTGGCTGCACATGGCTCCCTCCAGTGAATCAGCCACATTCCAAAGGTGCAAACACAGACGCCACGCCCTCAGCAGCCCAGCCGGGGGCTGCGGACTTCCTCCCCAGCCCCGGGGCCCCCACCCACCTCTCCCCCCTCTGTTTCTTCCCAGCAAGACCAGGTTTTCATTTCCAAAGCCTTTCTCCTGGATCTGAACAGCGAAACAGCCACCAGGCCGCGAGCACCAAGCGCCTGCTCACTGCCCCCGCGGGAGCTCTGACCCCAGCCCCCTCTGTCATCACTGCACATGGGCTCATTCATTCAGCAGGTATTGACTGAGCACCTACTATGGGGTGACCAGACACGGGAACTCAGCCCAGCAAGAGGCCACAAGATCAAAATCTGGCCCATAGCAGAAAGCAGCTGCAAGTGTGCGAGAAGCAGTAAATTAAGAAGGGGAGGGCGGGTGATAGGGGGCTGGACTGGGGCCTCACTCGGGGGAGAAGTGGGCAGGAGACTCGGGATGAACGGGAACCCCCTCCATGGAGCGGCCTTTCCCCTCAGCCAGGCCCGGGTCTTCTCCCTCCTGCCAGCTGCCAGCACTGTAGCCGCGAAGTCCAGCTATTTTCCCAATAAGAGATTTACTGGGATAGAATCCACCTACTATACAGCTCACCACTTCAAAGTGTACCGTTCAGAGGTGTCAGTGTTTTCATGTGGCGGTACAACCATCACCACGGTCCATTTTAATATATTTCCATCACTCGGAAAAGAAACTCCCCCAATGCCTTCCCCAGCCCTGGCAGCCGCTGTTAGGCTGTCTCTCGATGGTCTGGCTGATGCTGGACATTGCATGCAAGTGGAACCACATGCCATTTGACCTTTCGAGTCTGACTGCTCTTGCTCAGTATCACGTTTTCATAGTTCACTGAGGTTGTAGTGCGTGTCAGTGCTTTGCTCCCTTTTTATGGCTGAGTAATATTCCACCCTATAGACAGATGGCAACTGTCTACCCACTTATCTGTGTTGTCTCCACCTTTGGGCTGTTATGAACCATGCTGCTCAGACATCACGTCCAAGTTCATGTGTGGACACATGTTCTTACTGCTCCTGGGTAAGTACTAGGAGTGGAATTGCTGGTCACAGGGTCACTCTGTTCAGCCTTCTGAGGAGCTGCCAACAGTGTGAGGGTTCTCCGAGTCTTCCCGGTACTTCTTATTGTCCCTGTTTTGTTCCAGCCGTCCAGGAGGGTGTGAGGTGATATTGCACGTGGTTTTGGTGTGAAGTTCTCTAATAAAACACACCCATTTTAGGGCCGCACACCTCAGTGACGGTAGTGGCGAGGAGGTTACATGTAGCCAGAATAACCCTGGGATCCTCTGGGTCCAACAACCACGACCCAGCACCGCTCTGGAGGACTCATCCGGACATGACCAGGTTGCCCTCTGGGCGGGGCAACTGTGGGTGATGGGGAATGACTGGGTGGATCCAGGCAGGTGGGTGCTGCTAGGGGGCCTGGCACAACCCCAGGATGACACAGATGGCTCCTTCATCATCGGCTGGTGGGTGGGTCTGACGGCACCCCACTCCTTCTGGACCCTCATGGTCCCCTGGGCATCCCAGTGCCCTCAAACCCTACAGGATCTTCTGTGACTACTTTCTCCTTCATAAAGGTCAACACCACAACCCAGGCTGGTTCAGGCTACTGCAGAGGCCAGAAGTGAGTACAGCGGGGAACATTGGGGTGGGGGGTGTCTCTGCCTCCGGGGCAGAGAGCAGGAAGAAGGGCCTGGATCATATTCCCAGGCATCTCTGTGCCTCCCCCTGCCCCACCAAAGGAAGGTCCCAGGGCAGAGCTTTGTCTGTGTTCACCCCTGGGGCCTGAGGTAGTCAGCAGGCCTTGGCATTTGCTGGATGAACAGCTGGTGAAGACAGACTGGGTGGGGGAGGGTAGTGGTTAGCGCACGGGCTTTGAAGTGCAAGAGTCTGAACCCATGCTCAGCCCCTCAGGGCCAGTCACTTGGCTTCTCCAGCTCCCCTCTCCTCACCCAGGAAGCCAGCCTGAGGAGGCTCCCCACCAAGTGCCTCTGATGACTAAGTCCCAGGAAGCAGATGGAGCACTATCATGGGCCAGGGACCAGCACCCCTGAGGACCGGGTGGGGGGAGCTGGGAGGAGGAGATGGCACGAGTCTCATCAGGGGAAGAATAAAAAAGTGGGATGTGTCCTGCAGGGAAGCTAACCCCACCCTGGGGAGAGGCATGTCCAAGCAGGGGGGACACAAAACTATGCCCAAAAAGGTAGCCCTGGTGCACCGAGGCTGGAGATTAATGTTAGGGAACACTCCTGAGTATGGATGGGGGTTCCCCTCACTGTATCTTCAGCTGAGGAAACAACAAAGGAGTCCAAAGGCAGACCTAAGGGGACAGTTGGATTTAGGGGGCATAGTCCCCAGAGGGCTTTAGGGGGTAAGTAGGGCTGTGGGAGTGTAACAGGGTGGTCCTCAGGAAAGGGGGAGGGGTTCCAGGTTTCCTGCCCCACCAAGGGAGGGTGGAGCTGAGCAGGGAGAGAAGAGGCTGCAGAAGGGACAGAGGAAGGCAGGCAGCAGGATGGAGATCCAGGAGCCCCGGAGGAGGCGCATGGAGCCGGGAGACACGTGAAGAGACTGCGCTTGCCTTTTGGTCGTGGACTGGGTGACACAGATGTGGGTGAGACCCGTGGGGAGGAGACAATCGCGGTTTTTGACTTGATTTTGATTTTGCTCTTTTCCTCCCAGACTTGTCTGGTTGTTTCTGATCCTTTCCTGTGGGTCCCCACTGGAAGCTGCTTTAGACTGTGGCAGGCTTTGGGGCCTTGCTCTGGGCCAATCCTGCTTGGGTGGACTTTTACCCACGAGGGGACGGGTCACTTTGGTGCTTGATTTAGAAACTATACTCTTTGCCTTTCCTGTGTTGTTTCCTAATTGTATTAAAGTTCCTTTTCATTAAGCCTCATATGTTTTATGTTGATGTGGAGGATGGCAGAACCTCTTTAGAGCAGGCAGGTTTGTGGGGTCTGGGGTGCCCCTCTCACTGCCCTGCAACAGAAGCAGCAGCTGAGGGGCTAGAATGGGCAGCCAAGGATGAGGCACAGCTCAGAGGTCAGTGGGTGATGTGGGCAGCAGCTCTGGGGTCCAAGGAGGAAGGGTGGAGAAAGGCCTGTCAAGGAGACTCTTTGGGGGTGTTAGGGAAAAGAAAAAAAAGGAGACTCAACTACTTTAAACAGGGGAGACACCCAGCTGATGACAGCACCCTAACAAGGACTGGACTGCATCTAGACTCAGGGTCCAATCTGCTAGAAGGCTCCTGGCAACGTGGCTGGCAGGACCAGGAGAGTGGGGTTCAAGGCTTAGCCAGAGGCCCACAGCCCACAGGAATCACCGGGCTTGGGAGCCTATGGAAAATGTAGCCCTCAGGCCTGCCCCAACTTCCTGGCTCAGCAGGAGTTTGAGACCCCCTGGGACCCTAAGACTCTGAATGTGGCCAGAGAATCTGGGGGTTGGAGGGCAGCTCAACAGCCACACTCAGAGCGGCCTCAGGGGTAAGAGAGGGGCCCAGCTGTCACCTGGGTCTGCATTCTGTCCACAGGAGTCTCAGCTACCTCAGTACTCTCTCCACTGGAGCACTCCCACAATCATGGGGGGAGGGCACGGGGTGGGGGGCGGCTGTGGCTCCAGCAGCCATTCCAGTTCATGGTCAGGGTGTGCAGAGGGGGCCGGGGCTGAGTAGATCCTTTCATCCCTGGGTTGGGCTCCAAGACCAAAGCCCCAGACCCCTGGAGGAAAAGCCCCTAGCTGGCTGACCCCCCAAGGTGCATCTGGCCCCACCCACAGCAGCCCCACCCAGAGAAGGCACCCATGACTCAGCCAGACATCAGTGCCAAGGACGGGCTGCGAATAAAGAGCAGGAAGTGTCTCCATCGCTCTGCTGTCCCGCCTCCACCAGCCTGTGTGCGGGGTCATGCAGAGAACTCCCTCTGACCGGAGTGGCCAGCAGGGGAAGCCGGCTGCGCTGGGGCCACCCGCCCTGAGAGTGGGACTGAGCCCATCAGCTGGGCTCGGGTTGTGTCTCAGCTACTTTCCAGCTGTGCATCCCGGGAACCACTCAGCCTCTCTGAACCCCCACCCCCCTCCTCTGCAGCACCAGCCTGAAGGTCCCAAGGACCTGCAACACCAGGACCTCACCTGGCTGGGGGCCTGGGGGCGGGCTCACACACCCCTAACCCTGTCAAGCTTTTCAACACCACAGCCCAAAGGCTGGAGAAGGGCAAGTGCAGAAGAGTCGCCAGCCCTGCCCCGAGTGGGAACCCACAGGCCGTGGGGCAGCAGGCACAGGGCCGTCTTCACACAGCAAGGCGCCTGGCCTGCCCCCCCTTCTCCCCCAGAGCCCGAAGCAGCCCTCAGGCCCCCTCCGCGGGTGGGGCAGCGGGCAGAGCCTGCGCTGACTGGGGTGGGCTTCCCGGGTGTGCTGTGAACTCTCTGGGCGCTCAGGGGCATTTGGGGGATTCTGCTGGTTCTGCGTCAGCGGCGGCGGGGCACACGCAGCCCCCAATCAACGTCGCCTTTGTTAGGCCCAGGCGCACTCCTCGGTCTCACCCGGGTCCTGCCCACTCCCCGAGGCAGCCTCCTCCCGCCTCCTGCCCTTCCCTCCCCGAAGCCACTTGTACCTGCTCCAGCGCCTGGAGGGGTGACAAGTGTTTCCCAGACAACAAAAGCCTCTCTCCGGAGAGCGGATGTCAGCCTACACCCTCCTTCTGGGCAGATTTCAGGGCCCCAGGAGCCGGGCGGGCTCGAGGGCAGGCGGCTGGGGGCAGCCGGTCCGCAGAGAGGGGCCTGGCTGCTCAGCCGTCGCCTGAGGCCGGAGGCCCCGTCTGGGTCGCGCACCCACCCCGGTCTCGGGGTGTGCTTCGGACAACGACGCCATGTCCTTGGGCTCGGGCTGTGTGACCTTGGGCGGGTTACTGGGCCTCCCTGGGGCTGCGCGGGGCCTGCCCGGCCGGGGTCCCTGAGGACGAAGGAGGCTGCGCTCCGCCGGGCACCTGCCGACGACGGGGC